TGTCTTTCAACGGGGCACTTCCCTCAGTGAAATTGAATCCTGATTGGAGCCTGTGAAGGAGGAACTTGGAGGGAGGGTTTATTGCAATATCGTTGGTGATTCTTGGGCTTGCTCTGGTCCGCCTCCTCCTCCTCGTCCTCCGCCTCCCTCGTCCTCCCGCCTTAACGCCTCGATGATCGGGCCATGTCTGCGCCTGCCTCCTCCTCTTTCTCCTCTTCCTCTTCCTTCTTCTCCTTCTCCCTCATGCTCCTGCTGGTCCTGCTGCTGCTTCTTCTGGTGCCGCTCAAGTCTCCTCCCTCCCCTCCTTCATCGTCCCTCCTCCCTCCTCCACTTCTGCTGCAGCCAACGATATGGCCGACTTCGGAAACCCTGGGTCCCAAACAACTGGAGTCTTACTTTGATGTTCGCCGCCCTTCTGCCAGCGGAACCACCGCAGTTAAAGATCCACTGGCTTCCGCCGAAGGCGACATGTGACGCATGCCAAGTCCTTCCTGGAGGTGGCCATGACTGCACCAACTTCAAATGTACTGCTTATGCTTGTGCATGTTTGCGCACACGCGGATTTCGGCTTCTGGAAACCCTGAATCCAAGCACATACGTGATTACGTTGGACGGCCGACCCTTCATTCCGCCGTCTTCCGCCGGCTTCCGCCGGCGGAGCCGCCCTACTAGTTTTGTGCCCGCCAGCTTCCGGACCGAAGGCGAGGCCCTTTCTGGAGCGCCTCACGCACTGACAGATCAGGACACAATTATGGGGGCTGATGGGGGTCCAGAGGTGCCCCTCCTCCCCCTCCTCCTCTTCCTCCTCCTCCTCCTCCTCCTCTTCCTCCTTCTCCTGCTCGAGGTGCAACCCCCTTCTCTTCCTCCTCCTCCTCCTTCTCCTCTTCCTCCTCCTCCTCATCCTTCTCCTCCTCCTCCTCCTCCTCCTCCTTTTCCTCCTCTTCTCCCCCTCCTCCTTCTCCACTTCATCCTTCTCCTCCCTCCTCCTCTTCTTCCTTCCCCTCCCTTCTCCTCCTCGAGGTGCCGCCCCCCCCCTTAGCACTGCCAGGGAAGGTTCGGTGAGAGCTTGCAGGCCGCGGCGGCGTGCGGTGCGGGGCGGCGCGCGATGGGGGGAGACGTCGTCGCTTTAGGATGTCTTGGGGCCTTATAAAGGGAAATTAGGATACACAAATAAATACACACAAATAAAAATAGTCCCCATATTTTCCCATATTTTCTGGGTTTCTGTCTTCCCCCCCACTTCCCATATCTTCCCATATTTTCCTGGGAATCGAGGATTAATTGTGTCTGTGTGTTTTTTTTCCCTCCTGACCTTAGCTGCCCCGATGCGCAACACGCACCACGTAGCGTATTGATACGGAGCTCCACACGCACACTGAAAGCGTGGGTCTGGCGCGATGCGTTCGCCAAAACGCGGGCCTATAATGCTGAGCCAACAGGCAACGTATTGGCACGGAAGCTTCGAGCACGGCACGTGCTGCGTGTCAAAGCGGGCGTATCGAGGCATCTAAGCTTGGGGCGCTTCTGGAGGCCCGCGTCGCCATGGCCGGACGCGCTCTGAGGCTCGAAGCCCGAGATTTGTCGGGTGCTCATTCTCGGTTCCCCGAAATTTTCCAGGCTCGGGACGCGCTTCCAGCAGCTGCGCCTCGCCGGGAGCGTTCCCGGGATGCCCGAATCGTCCCGAACGGCCGTCTGAATTGCCGTCCGAAAAACCTGTGCGTCGCAAAAAATAGCGGCGGTCGTTTATGAATCGTTTCGGCATCCGCAAACAACTTCCCAGCCCCAGGACCATCAAATAACGACTCAGGATGGAAAGCCGGCCCTGGGGATGTGGTCGGGGACCCACGTCACAAGGGGAACTCAATGCCCCCCCCCATCCCTGGTCTCCCCTGTGGACAAGGGGATCGGATTGTACGGTAGGTTCCTGTGGCGTCGACGCGCGCAAAGGTTTTTGACACCGCGTCGATCGTCTACCTTGAATCGATCGTGGCCCCGCTCGTTCAAGGTTGCATTCCGTCGGGCCCAGCGGCGTTACAAGGTCCCGCTGTGCTCCAGCCCTGAGATCCGACGTTGCGAGCAACTTGCAACACCGCGAAAAATCACCAGCCGAGCCCTGGAGCCCATCTCTCTGCGCCACTTTTCGAGTCGGATTGACCTGTGAGGGCCCCCAGGCCCGAATATCCAGGCGAAGACGCCCGGTGTGACAACATGGCAGCGCCAGGATCTCAGGGCACGCCCAGGAATTCTCGACCCATTCCCCAGGACTGGCTATCCATTCTGAATCGGATAATGGGTCGACAATGGCGAAACACCGCCAGTCGTGATTTTTTACAAAGCGCGAGGGGGTCTGCGAACGCCAAGATCTCAGGGGGCGTTGCCAGCGCGCCAACGCCGCAGGAGCCTTCCGCATAGGCGGCCCTGTCAGGGGGAGGGAGGGATGGAGGGAAGAGGGAGGGAGGGAGGGGGGGGAGGAGGGAGGGAGGGAGGGAGGGAGGGAGGGAGGGAGGGAGGGAGGGAGGGGGAGGGAGGGAGGGGGAGGGAGGGAGGAGGAGGAGGAGGAGGAGAGGAGGAGAGGAGGAGGAGAGAGGAGGAGGAGGGAGGAGGAGGAGGGAGGAGGAGGAGGAGGAGGAGGAGGAGGAGGAGGAGGAGGAGGAGGAGGAGGAGGAGGAAGGAGGAGAGGGAGGAGGAGGAGGAGGAGGAGGAGGAGGAGGAGGAGGAGGAGGAGGAGGAGGAGGAGGAGGGGTTCTCTGCGCGGCGCGAGGGCGCGCCCCACCGTGGGCGCGCGGGTCGAGCGGAGGGACGGCGTCCCCCCCCCCCGGGGCAAGGATGTCCTGGCCTACCGCGGCGTCCGGGGCCGCGCGGGTGCTCGGCCACTGGGCACGCTCGGGGCCGAGATGGCAGGCGGGGGAGGGCGGCAAGGAGGGCGGCGAGGCGGGGAGGAGGGAGGAGGAGGGGCGAGGAGGGAGGAGGGGCGAGGGGGAGGGAGGAGGGGGAGGAGGGGCGGGGGGGCCACGAAACGTGTGAGCGGTGTGCCGAAACAAAAACATGCGGAGAGCAGAGGCGCCCAGGCGGAGCATGGAGGAGGGGGAGGAGGGGGAGGAGAGAAAGGAGACGCGGGGCGCTGTATCTTCAAACCAAGGACGCAACATCACAGGAGTGTCGGGGAAACAAAGGAATCCAGAACTCACATCCCGAGTACTACTGCTACACATGTCCTAATGTGTACATACCGAAGCACGTCCCAGAAAGCGCGCGCGTAGTATTACGTACGTGTACCACAGGGTGCATGCGAATCACGTCCCTAAGGGTGCGCGTGCTACACGTGTCCCAATGGGTGCGTGCCATGGCACGTCCCGGAGGGTGCTCGTGTATGGCGCATGAGAATGATGCGACTGCTAGCTGTAGTAAGAGACGGCTCAGGAGGGTCCCAGGAAGCCACCTTCTCCTCTTCCTGAACCTCCTCCTCCTCCTCCTCCTAATCCTCCTCCTCCCTCTGCTGATCCTCCGCTTCATGCTCCTCCAAGTGATCCCCGAAAGGTTTCCACTGCGGCTCGGGGAACACCTGGTTCGATACCTTATCCAAGCTCTGGACCCAAACGTTTGGCCACAGAGGCGCTTTTCAAAAAGGCAGGGGGCGGCGGTGATTCGCCGCAGGCGTCTTCGATAAATCACCTACACAGTGCAATAATTCACTCTTTGGGGCCCACTCTGGCTAACACTGTTCCGCAATATTGTTTTCGCACGGGGCGATCGCTTGAATAGCAGTCCCATGGGGCGTTAGTTTCTCCATGGGGGTACCCCTGTGATGAGAAATATCATTTCAGGAGCTGGTGAGGATGAAACGTGGACTGGGAGGGAGCGTTGCACCGTTTCTGATGCATCCTGGCCTCACTCTCGTCGCACTCTCCTCCTCGAGCCTCCACGATATGGGGGCGGGCCATTCGAGCTGCCCCCCTGAACGGGTCGTCAATCACCCGTGCTCAGGGGGGAAGAGTTAGGTCAGGCATGTCCCCCTACGGGCGGACGTTGGACGAAAATCAAGCCCGCCAAACAAATGCTCACACATAGTCAAAACATACCGAACAAATCGCCCCCCAGGCTATTCTTTGACTATGTTTGAATATTCCCCCTGTAGAGGGACAGGCCCGACGTAAGGGAAAAGGGAAAGCGGTCTGCAATCAGCCGACGCGCCCGAGCGGCCAGCAGCCGGCGGGCGACGAGAGAAGGCGTGCAGCACCGCAGAGGGCGAAATGACAACCTTTTTACTGTACGTTGGTGTTTCTTGCGTGCAGAGGCCCCCCAAGGCCCCCCTCCTCAGATCTCAAGCGACTGCGCCTCCGCACCCCCCCCTTTGTTTATTATCTCTCTCTCTCTCTCTCTCTTTATCTAGCTCCCTCCTTCTTCTCCTCCTGCCCGCACTCCCTGTCTCTCTCTCTCTCTCTCTCTCTGTCTCTCTTACTCTCTCTCTCTCGCTATATATCAATTGTTGTTTTAATGTTTTTCTTTCTTTCTTTCTCTCTCTCTCTCTCTGCACTGTGACTGAACGAGAGCAGCAGCGAGGACGCACCATTGTTCGCTCAACCGCCAAAGTCTTTCCTACAGAGTAAAGGCAGTGTCACGGGGAGCGCCCCCCATGCGTGCATCGAGCGGGCCAAAGTGCAAAGTTGGCAAAGCTCGAGGGAAACATCCAACCGAATGACATGCAACACCCGTCCCTCTCCTCCTCCTGCTCATTCGTCCCTCCTCCCCCTTCCCTCCTGTTCCTCCTCTCATACCTCATGTTCCTCTTCCCTCGTCCTCCCCCCCTCCTCCTTCTCTCATCGTCTTTCTCATCCTCCTCCTCCTTCCCTCCTTGTCCTCCCCCTCCTCCTCCTCCTCCTCCTCCTCCTCCTCCTCCTCCTCCTCCTCATCCGTCGTCCATCCTCCCAAGCCACCCTGACCCTCCGATCTCGTCTCCACGTCGGCAGCAGAAGCGCGGGCGCGCCCGCTGCTTCAGGCGGTCAAGGCTGGTCGGGCGCCTCCCCGCTCGCGTTCCTAAGCTCGATATCCTTTTCATTCTTGATCTTCATCTTGATGTCGTCCCAATTAACGGGAACCTGCTGCGCCCACATCTTGAACTGCTCGTTCGTTTCGACGTGTTTCATCTGGTCTAGATGTTTTTGGCGATACGCGAGCACGGTGTCAACGTGAGTCTGGTGCTTCAGCGCAAGCTCCAGCGCGTCATTCCATCGGTGCATGCGTATGTTCATCTTGATCGCCCGGTAGATACGCTTGTTCTGCTTCAAGATGTTGAGCGCCTCCTCGGGCCTCTTGCAGAAGAGGGCCAGCTCTGCCGAGCGTAGCACCTCATCGGGGAGGTTATTAATGTGGGAGATGAACTGGAGCTTGTCGACCTCCTCGATGGCCGCAAGTGCGATCTTCACGGTCTCAAGCGAGCGCGACTGAATTGCCATGGCCGCTAGCGACGCCCACAGCTTCGGCGACTTGACGTATCGACAAAGACGTACAGCCTGCTCCCACTGGCCCTTTTCATAATGCTGGTACAGCAACTGTGGGTAGGGCATGGTCGTCATGACCAGATCGGCGCCGTCAGCCTTGCGTATGGTGCACTGGGAACCGGAGAATGCCACGAGCTGCGCGAACTTGCCCGCGTCGGTGCAAAGTTTGGTGTCCAAGGTCTTCGGCAGCAGGTCCTTGTCCACGAAGCAGACCGCTGGATAGATGAAGATGGCCAGCTTATCGTCCATCAGAGCAACCAGCATGTCCGTAGAATCGTTCCACATGAAGGTTTCGACCATGTTGCCCAGCTTCTCGACCCGGTCCGCCTGCATGGCCTTGGTGAGGTAGAGGTCCTTGTTCTTGTCCTAGAGGAGGGGGAAGCTGCATAGGCATAGACTTTCTGGAGATCCGCGCGGATTTCTTGGATCTGCGCTGGACCCCTCCCTGGCGCACGAATCGCGCCAGCGGCGACGCTGGAGGCACCGCCACAAGGGTCCAGCGCAGATCCGAGAAATCCGCGCGGACCTCCGAAAATCTATCTTTACTCCGCTTTGTCTTAGCTCGGGCACGACCCCCTACAGGCGGATTTCGGGCGACAAATTAAGCATTTCTTTAAACATACCCCCAAGTAGCCAAAACATGCAACAAAAACAGAAACACACACACACACACACACACACACAAAAATCGTCCCCTGAGTAGTTGTTTACTATTTTTGAATATTCCCCTTGTAGAGGGACAGGCCCGACTTAAGCTTTGTCGTCGTCGACTTGTCCAGGATGGCGATCTTGCGGTCCGACCCAGACCCCATCTGGCTCATGGAGATGCGGACGACGTCGAGCTTGTGCTGGAGCGGCTGCCCGATGGGCCGGCCCGTGTAGACGTCGAAGACGCGGATCTGCTTCGGGGACGCGGGGTCGCAGAGCGCCAGCGCATCCTTTGGAGGCCTGGAAATTGGCACCAACACCAACACAGGGGGTTGCCTCCACAGGGGGAAGATGATGCTCGATTTCGGTGTCGGTGGTCATACTTCGGTCACCTTGAAGCCAGAATATTACCACCATCACCGAGATCGTGATCTTCTTCCCTCGGCGGAGGCACACTGCCGATATTGGTGTTGGTGTCAACCTCTAGGCATGCGAATCCTTGCAGACGCTGAGCGTCTGGTGGTTGAGGAACTCGGTGCGGAGGCCGCTGAAGGCGATGTTGGATAGCCTCCGCCCCTCGTAGGAAAGCACCTGGATTTAGGTCGGGCATGTCCCCCCACAGGCGAATTTTGGACGAAAAATGAAAAATAGTCCCAAGATGTACGAAACATGGTCAAACGTGGTCGAAACATCGTCCCCAGGTAATTTTTGTAATACTATTTTTCAATGTTCCTCCTGTAGAGGGACACGCCCGATTTAAGGATAGCCTCCGCCCTTCGTAGGAGAGCGAGAGCACCTGGATGGCGTGCGCGTCGACCAGCGCGAAGTGAGAGGGGCACTGCACGATCAGGGTGGGCGGCTCCTTCAGGTCCTCGACGTGAGGCGTGTTCCAGTTGCTCTGCTGGTAGACGATGATGGGCCTGTTTCCACCACCACCACAAGTTGGAGGGGGGGGTCCTTCTTCTCCTCCTCCTCCTCCTCCTCCTCCTCCTCCTCCTCCTCCTCCTCCTTCCATCCATCCAACTCATGGTGGTGGTTTCGGAAAACAGGCCCATCAGATAAAGCACTGGCTATTCGTCGTGACAACCAGTGCTCCGTACGCCACGGACATGTCCGTCACCCTATCTCTGAAGTCTCCCAGATCCTCTTGGGTCTCGTTCAGAACGTCGTGCACGGTGATTGCGTTGCTCTCGTCCAGGGTCACGTCCATGTTTTGCCAAGATATCATGCGATCGACCAGGCTTGCGAAACCGACCGATCCATTGCCGCAGCCACACGCGAATTGCGTACCGTCGTTGCACCACGAGATGGCAAATACAGAACCTGCCTCAGGCGACTCACGGCAATAAGACCAGCCCGTGCGATCACACAGCTTTACCATGTTATAGGATCCAACTGCAAAATGTTTGCCTGTGGGCGACCAAGCCACAGCCGTCACCACATGATCGAGAGGCGCACTGTTGAACAAGAGCCGGCCGTAAGAATCCCAAATCTTGTACCGGCAGTCCTCGCCCGCGGACAGGATCGTGTTGTTCACGAACGACCAGTCGAGCTGCAGCACGATGCCATCGTGCGCCTTCCACTCCACCTGCTTCTGGCCAGCCTGGATCGACTTCAGGTGGACCTTGGGCCCGCACGCGAAGAGCAGGCTCTCGCAGTCTGGGGACCACACCACCGAATACACGGCCTGCGGCATCTGCGTGAGCGTGGACCTCAGCATCCCGCTACGCGACCAGACTTTCACCGCTCCGTCCTCGCCGGCCGTCGCGAGCGCGGAGCCGTCGAAGGACCACTTCAGGGAGATCAGGGCCCCCCGGTGCGCGTCGACTTTCTTCTCCTCGCGGCCGCACGCCACGAGCGACCCCGGGCAGGAGCGGCATCTGGTGCGCGGCATTCCGGGGCCAACGGGGGGGAGGCGGGGGCCCAATCCAAGCGCGCAGGCCAAGATGGGGGGACCCCGGGACCCTTGTGGGCCTGCACCACAGACCACTCCGGCGAAGGGCCGCTCCGATTGTGCAGCCCGTCCTCGCGGCCCGTGTCGCTCATGAACCGGAACGTGCCTTGGCGATCCGCACCAAGTGGACGGTTTCCCCCGCCGAGGCCGTAGGCGACCCGAGTAGGGGAGGGCGAGGGGAGGGAGGAGGAGGGGAAGGAGGAGGGGGAGGGAGAGGAGGAGGAGGAGGAGGAGGAGGAGGAGGAGGAGGAGGAGGAGGAGGAGGAGGAGGAGGAGGAGGAGGAGGAGGAGGAGGAGAGGAGGAGGAGGAGGAGGAGGAGGAGGAGGAGGAGGAGGAGGAGGAGGAGGAGGAGAGAGGAGGAGGAGGAGAGAGGAGGAGAGGAGGAGGAGGAGGAAGAGGAGGAGGAGGAGGAGGAGGAGGAGGAGGAGGAGGAGGAGGAGGAGGAGGGCAGAGGAGGAGGACGGGTCGCTTACGCCCTTCGGAGAAACCCTCCAGCACCAGGGGGTGGGACGAGGGCATTCCAAGAGGGCGGAGGCTTCTTGACAGGGGCCGCTCTCCTTGGGATGTAGGCGGGTGTCCAAGAAACCTCCCTGCTTTCTTGCGCAGCCCTTCCCCCCCTCGCCCCGTCCCCCGGCAAATCACCGGTCCAAGCGGGTCCCCCGGAGCCCCGCCGTCCAACTTTCCGAGCCGCGCCAGCTGTGGCCACAAAGAGCCTTCAAGAACGCCCAAAAGCTTCCAGGACGACGACTCGAACGACGATGATGACGACGCGGCGACGACCAATCCGACCACAGCAAAACACATACCTTAAAGGAGGCCTGAAAAGAGGATGAGGAGGAGGAGGAGGAGGAGGAGGAGGAGGCACAACGTTGGATGAGGAGGCTGAGGACGAAGAGGAAGAGGTGGAGCAGGAGGAGGAGGAGGAGGAGGAGGAGGAGGAGGAGGAGCAGGAGGAAGAGGAGGAGGAGGAGGAGGAGGAGGAGGAGGAGTAAGAGGAGGAGGAGTAAGAGGAGGAGGAGGAGGAGGAGGAGGAGGAGGAGGAGGAGGAGGAAGAGGAAGCCGCGTGGCGCCGAAAGCCCGTTCAGGGGTGGATGATGAATTACGCGGGGGCGCGACGGCCGAATTTGATTATCTGACCCTTGGTGTTGCGAGGGCAAGTTGAGTGCGGGCGGACCTCAGGGCTGCGCGATCCGTCGCAGCATCTCCGATTCCCCCGCAACCACCACTATGGAGGTCGCACTTGTAGCTGCGTGCGTGAAAGAGGAGAACCAGACGAATGACTGCGTCACCGCACAGCTTTACAGGCACATGCCCTAGAAGGACTGGCAAGAATTCGGCCCGGAGCGGGTCGGGACCAGGCTGGAACACCAGCTTCCACAGCAGGCCACAGTGACAATAGCGAGCCTGGTCACATCGCTGCTCTGGGTACCCAAAGAGGCAGGGCTAAGTGCCCACAGGCAACCTGTAAGAGGAGGTCCACGCGCCCAAAATAGCATTTACTGTTGCACGCTGTGCTGCCTGTGGGAAGCGAGCCAACTTCTCGTTGAGGCAAGGTCACGCAGAGGGCAACCGTTCGGCACGATGATCAGCGGGCGCGACCCACTTCGAGCGGCGAGAGAGGAGGGTCGGGGGGCGAGCGTGTCGGGGGAAAGCAAGGAGCGCATGGGGCGGGAAAGGATGCGCTGAGTGCGGGCGCGAGCATCAGCTTTTCCTTCCTTCACTGCGGCGGCCGCCTCCCGTCGGGCAAGGCCCAGGCCACCGAGGCCTTGGCTGCCGTCGGCTTGGTCAGCTTGTCGTCGGGGAAGCCGGTCGCGGCGTTCTCCGATGGTCGGCGAGCGCCAAAATGGCGGCGAGGCGTCCTGCATGGAGCTCGGGAGGGCGGCCAAGCCGCCGTGGGACACCGCAATCACGCGCAGGTGAGGCATCGACGTGCGCCGCTGCGGGGCCGTCTCCGGCGACGTGCGCATGGCGGCGACCAAGCGCGTGAGCTCCAGTGACGGCAGCTGCGCGTGACCACTCCGCCAGGCCGTGGAAGGCCTCCCGTGACCCACGGCTGCCAGGAGGATGGGACGACCAAGTGCTCGATGTCCTCGAATACCTTGCCTGGTGCGAGCTCGAACTGTGCGAGTGTAGGACAGGGCCGAGGCGGCGCAGGAGCGGTACGTGTGGATCGATGTCTATGTCGGGGCCCGGACATTCGCGATCTCGACCACGCGATGCTGGAATTTGAAGATTGCGGCCACTGCGGGGCCGAGGAGCACGCCCAGGTGCTTGACGCGGTCGGCGATGCTGATGAGGTTCCGAGAACCCTGGTAGGAGCGCAGCCAGCCCTGGAACTCGTCGATCATGCTGGAGTCGAATGCGCCACTCAATGACGCTGCAACGCAGTTCTGGGCGTCGAGGCGGAGGCCGGCCAGCAGCTCCGCGGCACGGGGGGTGGCTCGCACCTCGTTGAGCAGGGCGCGTGGTCGGCGAAAACTGCGAGACTCGAGCGAGGATGAAGTCGGAAGGCCGAAGTGAATCAGCACGGGGTTGAGAGCGATGCGCCACGTCTTGCAGCCGAGCGGGCAGCCATGCGCGATGCCGGCGGACGCCGCGAACATGCGCTAGAAGTCGCCTCTCACGTTGGCGCGGGTCTGCGGCTTGTCGCGTGCGTAGAAGGCCCTCTCTCGAGGCCAGCAGCCTTGGGCGGTTGAGCGAGGGGATGGCTGCGACGAAGTCGTTGGCGACCATCGCGGCTCTGTCGTAGTGCTTCGGGTCCGAGCACGCGAGCCAGCTTCTTGCCCGCGCAGTCACGTCGAGCTGCACTACGTTGGATGCGAGTTGTCGGCCGCGTTAAAACCACGCTGGAAGAACTGCGCTTTCTCGGCGACGCTGGCGTGGATCTTCCTGTAGCTGGTAGCAGCGATGATCTCGGCGTCGGTGTTCTCGAGTTGGGGGGGCCGCAGCCGTTCGACCATTCCGCGCGTGCGGATGCCACCCTTAGGTTGATCGCCCTTCGGGGTCGGCGCCAGGGTTGACCCGCTGAAACGCGCGAGGGGCGGAGCAAGGGGGGGGGGGGGCGGGGGGCCGCAAAGTACATCGTGCCTGACGCCCTGGAGCTCGTTGATGCGCGCTCGCTGGCCCGCGCGGCGCACGGGGGGCCATCGGGTCCTGGAGCTGAGCGGCTGGCCGCCTCGATGGCCATCTCGAGGCTGCGCCCGAGGAGGAAGAGGAGGAGGAAGAGGGTGATGACGAGGAAGGGTCGATTAAGGAGACGATTGACTAACCAACTTGTACATCCGCCTGCTGTGTACACAATCTGAAACAACCCGGAACTATCCCCTTGGGCGGGCCGGTGCCCGCCACATGAGTCTCGATGTGTTGAGGCCCCTCTGGGCCACTCAACCATCGTGTGTGTAGACGGGTGTTCCAACCTCCGAACTTTGGGCGGAGCTTCCATGCCCGCTCGGGCGGGGTGCTGCATGCGCTCGGCGACCAGGCCAGCCCCGATCTTGCCACCTCCAGCGGGGGTCTGGAGCACAAGCACGCATGCCTCCAACAGAAGACCGGTCCATGCATAATCGCTGGATTGTGAGACCCGTGCGCTACCTTCCCCTGGATTTCAAAATGAAGGGACACTTCGGTTCCCCGCGGGGCTCGGTTCGATGAGGATGGGCCCCCGAGCACCTTCCCTGGAAAAGCTGGGCCGGCGCCGGAACTGTACTGGCCCGCTTTGGCAGCTGCTGAAGTGTTTAGCCGCCACACGGTGCACAATCTCCGTAATAGGAGGAGGAGGAGGAGGAGGAGGAGGAGGAGGAGGAGGAGGAGGAGGAGGAGGAGGGGGAGGAGGGTGAGGAGGAGGAGGAGGAGGAGGAGGAGGAGGAGGAGGAGAAGGAGGAGGAGGAGGAGGGGGCGATCCCGAGGAGGAGGAGGAGGAGGAGGAGGAGGAGGAGGAGGAGGAGGAGGAGGCGGAGGAGGAGGAGGAGGAGGAGGGGGAGGAGCCTGCTCAGAAGGCCCCCCCCTCGCCCTGCGCCCTTGGTGCGCGCCGCCGGGCGCCGTCTGCGCACCCCACGGCGAAGGTGTTGTCCGGCCCCCGGCCGCTGGGCAGCCACGCCATGGCCGTGGCGCAGGAGTCGAGGCTGCAGAGCTTGGCGACCGGGGAGCCCTCCACGTGCCACTTCCACACTGCCTGTGCGACAGTCGCAGCCAGTCGTGCTATATTTGAGCCTTCTTCGGTCTTGATTTCGGCCAGCCTTTGTGCGACGACAGTGGGCGCTACAGGCAGGTTTTTGGGGGCGCTCAGGCCCCGAAGTGCATGGCCGCTCTAGGATGCCCCAGGATGCGTACCGCACGGCCAAGGGGGCCCAAAAGGGCTCGAAGACGGCCCCAGGAGGCTCCGAAGAGAGCCTCAAGAGCCCGAGATGGCCCAAGAGGGCCCCGAGACGCCCCGGAAGGTTTGGACGGTTGGGGCAGCTTTCTGGTGGCCTCCAGGGGTCAAGATTCGAGGGGCACTGCAACTCACCATCTGCCTGGTCATCGCCGCAAGACAGTATCTCGTACTGCTTGCCGGTCGTGTAGTAGCCCACGGCTGTAACGATGGAGGTGTGCTTCGGCTGCTCCTCGAGGTAGATCTTCAGTCTCACCATCTCGAGGGGCGCCCTTGTTCGGCCGTATCTCGCGGGGCCGCCCTATAGCAGGGATCTGCCCGTGGCGGAACAGACTCCGCCTTGAGCCAACATGGCTGCACACTGTGGATGTAGCGGGCGATGCCGGATATGTCGGTTGAGTTTCGTCATCTTCGGGACGCCGGGGCGCCAGGCCTTCGGGGGAAAGCGCGATCTTCGGCCATATCTGGGGCCCTGGACAACGGGCTGGAACCCATGCATGGTGCTTCCCGCTTCGCCCGAGCGCCGAAGACACCGAGCATGTGTTCCCGGCGCACGTGCGCGACGAAAAGAAGCGGGTCTTACGCGAGAACACATGGCGACCTTCCGCCGCGGCTCACGCGGGCCGCCAGAGGACGTTTGAGCGCGACCTCACGCGGGAAGCTTGCGCGAGAATGTCCGCGCAATCGCCACCGTTCTCTTCCGTCGCCCATGCCAGCGCTGGAACATATTCTCGACGTCGGCTCTACTCGCAAGGGCGAGGGCGGGGTGACAGGAGGGTGTGGGGTCCCTCCCGGGCCTCAGATCGGGCAGGGGCCAGCGCCGAAACGCCGACCGCAGGTAGGCCGAAATTTCGGCGGCGGTCTTGGAGGCCTGCAAAGGGGCACCAACACTAACACAAGGGGTTGCCTCCACGGGGGGAAGATGATCCTAGATTCCGGTGTTGGTGGAAATATTTCGGCCACTTCGGAGGCCAGGATATTACCACCATCACCGAGATCCGGGTCTTCTTCCCTCGGTGAGCACGCCGCCGATATCGGTGTTGGAGTCAACCTCTAAGCCTGCAAGGGTCAGATACTCTGAGCCAACAAACGAACAAGTTGTTTGATATTGTTTACTGTCGCCCCCACTGGACAAAGTCCAACTGTATGTAGAATTGCAACAGCATTGGGCTTGAATGGCTGGCAGGAAAATCGTTGCAGCGAACGGCCGCAGCCAAAATGCCATACCATGGCTGTGCAGCGAAAAACGAGACACCACAATAGATCACATGACAATACGGAACTGTAGTTGGCAGCCGAGACTGCAGTGTGCAAAGCGGGTCGAACACACCGATATGGCATCTCAGCACTGCATCCCTGAGAATTTGGGGGGCGCATCCGCCCGACCTGTATACGAAAGGCGTGGCCCCAGGCACTAAATACAATCTACTGCTTACATGCAACCTTAAACTCGACAGACATGAGACTGTGAGTTCGTTGGTTGTCAGCCTTCAACTACCTATTGCACTCGCGACTCCTCAGCCTCTGAGTTTGCATTTCTTCCCGTCAACAGGAGGAGCGCAATCACCAATCTCGATTGCATTGCCGTCTGGGTCGAATAGGAAAAGCTGTAGTGCATCCTGTGGTCCTGGTCCGACTCTTTTGTAGGGTATGCCTGCAGCTTTCAATCTTATTTCGCATAGTTTTAAATCATCACTCAATAACGCCAGATGGTCACCAGTAGGCAAGCCCTCCCATCCGTGCCACTCTTTCTGCAGACTGTCAGCCTCCTTATACTTTCTCCGACTTGCGTTTGGCACCTCGGCGATATGCATCTTCACTCCGCTAGGGCCTTGCAACCAATAGCCGTCTACCTCAAAATCTGGGCGAACGATTCTCTTGAAACCGAGTAACTCTTCATAGAAAGCCCGTGAGGTCTCGACGTCCAACACCTCAAAAGAAGCATGCTCGAACTCGGTAATGGGGAGACTCTCTGGGTGGGACGTGAACGAACCAGTTCTGGTAGTCGACGAAGCGTGCACGGCTTTCCTTTTGATGAGATCCGCAAGGCTCTTCTTGGATATCACCGTCGAGTAGCGCCCAAGCACAAACCCGATCGTGACGCCTGCAGCGGCCGCCGTCAAGCTCGCGCCCATCAAGGAGATCCCATCGCGGGCCATGTAGCCCGTGCAGGTGCGGCGCACTGCTAGCGACGCGGAAACCCTGCAATCTGAGGCTGCCTGGCCCCTTCAGCCAACGCGGCCACGGACAAGAACCGTGAGCGTTGCCTCCGCCGGCCGGGCCGCCCCCGTTTGGTTTCCGCTGGCTTGTGCCGGCATTCCGCGCCACCTCCTCCCCCTCCTCCTCCGCCTCCTCCTCCTCCTCCTCCTGCTCCGATCCCAAATCCCCTCTGTCCCTCGACAGCGCAGCGACTTTTGGAGCCGGCACGTAGCTCCAGCGTGTTCCATCAACCCTTGATGCCGTGGCTTTGCCCTGGCGGCTCTCGCATCCACGTCAAGGGGGATACAAGATGACGTGGCATTTTCTTGTGACGTCGGTCCCCGAAGATCTCTATCAACCGAAGGACGGCTTCTCATCCCGAGTCGTTTCCTGACGGTCACCGAGCCGTGAAACGGCCTCCAGAAGCCGAAAGCAACGACACACCGGCTGGCGCGACTTGTTTTTACAGCGCCCGGGTCTCGGCTCTCTGGGGCGATCACTATTTGGCCATATTTCGGGCCTCTGGCGGCCACTCGGGACGATTCGGGCATCGCTGGAGCGTTGTCAACGCGGCGCAGCTGCTGGAGAGAAACCCGAATCTGGAAAACCTCGGGGAACGTCCGGAAACGCGCGCCAGAACACCTCGGGGAACAGGGTCCCTCCGCGCAGCTGGGCGCAACCCCTCCTGCCGCGAGGGTGCCCTGCCCCCCCCCCCCCGTGGAGCGCCAGCGGCGGCCACGTGGCTCGACAAGCATACCTTGACATTTACCTCGACGCGGACGGACGGACATCGGTGGATAAAGCGTTTTGCTCCTCCCGTGCGGCCCGATGCGCTTGCATGGCGATGTTCTGCACCCTGGCGCAGCCGATTCGACTTCGACTCCCGTTTTTTTTTGGGGGGGGGGTGAGATGCTCCCCTTGAAATTGCATGTCTGATGTTTTTGAGTTTTTCGCGTATGCAGATGTAGCTGCTGTCCTGTCTCTCTTGCTCTCTTGTACCTCTTCCATCCCTCCACCTCTCTCTTGCAAGCTTTCGAAACGAAGCACTTGTCCAACGGGTCGCCCAAGTCCACCGTTGCCTGCACACGCGTCCTGCTGGATGCTTGGCTTCTGCCTGCCTGCCGATGCGGCCCGATCTGACGCACTTTCCGATCCGATCCGACTTCCTGGAATACCCTTTTTCCCCGACGCAAATGAAATCGGTGGATCGGGGACGCATTTCTGCGGATTTATTCCTTCAGTCAGGGCGTTGCTCTTTTATTTCGGCCTCCAGGGGCCATTTTCGAGCCATCCTCGCATCTCTGAGCTCGGAGAAGCTGCGCGAGGTGGTGCTACCCGTTTCGCCTGAGACATCCTCGCAACTCTGAGCTCCGAGCTGCCGCCCGCGAGGTTGTCTGGCCCGCTTCGCCTGAAACATATCCTCGCAACTCTAATCTCCGAGATGCCGCGTCCAAGGTGATCCAGCCCGTTTCGCTTGAGGCATCCTCGCAAATCTGAGCTCTGAGATGCCGCTCGCAAGGTGGTCTGGCCCGTTTTGCCTGAGACATCCTTGCAAGTACGGGCTCCAAGACGCTGCGCGCGAGGTGGTCCCGCGCGTTTCGCCTGAGGCATCCTCCAAACTCTAGGCTCCGAGAAGCAGGAGGGAGGAGGGTTCAGACCCAAATGAACCATTTGATTACATTGTCTGGGAAAATCTGGGCGCCACCTGATCCATACTCGCATGCCGCGCGAGAGGTGGTGCGGCCCGCTTCGCCTGAAACATCTCCTCGAAACTCTCATCTCCGAGATACCGCGCCCAAGGTGGTCCAGCCCGTTTTCTTTGAGACATCCTCACGACTCTGGGCTAGACTCCGCTCGCGAGGTGGTCTGGCCCGTTTGGCCTGAGATATCCTTGCAAGTACTGGCTCCAAGACGCAGCGCGCGAGGTAGTCCGGCGCGTTTCGCCTGAAACGTCCTCGAAGCTCTGGGCTGCATATCGGGGATCTTCTGACCTGGGTCAATCCAGACACCGGTCAGCAGGAAACCAAAAAACTGCTATGCAGGAAAAAAATGCAACGCAGGTCTTCGCAAACCCGGGTCAGCCAATATGCGCGGCCGCCTCGCGGCTCGCTAACCCGGGTCAGCCAGAGGGGGTCTTCGCAGGATCCTGCAGGATCTGGTGCCCTGGCTGACCCCCGTTTGCATTGACCCCTGTCTCGAGGCTCCCGAACATACATAAACGAATCATTTGATTACACTTCTGTCGTCGAATTGTGCTCTGGGAGGGGTCTGGGCGCCGCAGCTCATCACAACTCCGGGCTCCAGGATGCTGCGCGCGAGGTGGTCCGGCCCGCTTCGCTTGAGACATCCACACGACTTTTGGGTCCGAAATGCCTTGCGCCAGGTGGTCTGGCGCGTTTCGCCTGAGACATCTTCGCACTTCTGGTCTTCGAGGTGCTGCGCCTGGGGTGGTCTGACCCGTTCCGCCCGAGACATCCTCGAAACTCTGGCCTCTGAGACGCAACGCGCGAAGTGGTCTGGCGCGTTCCGCCTGATACATATCCTCGCAACTCTGGGCTCCAAGATGCTGCGCGCGAGGTGGTTCGACCCGTTTCGCCTGAGACATCCTCGAAACTCTGGGCTCCAAGAGGGAGGAGGGACGAGGGAGGAGGGGTCAGGGGTCTTGGAGCCTTCAGGGTGTTTGAGGGCATCCCTTGCGAAGGCGCCTCCTGGCGGAGGAGGGTGAGGAAAACGACGAGGAGGCATAGCAGCAGGAGGAGGAGGAGGATTCGTATGAGGAGGGGGATAAGAAGGAGTGAGATGAGGAGGTGTAGAAGGGGGTGTAAAAGAAGAAGGGGGAGGGGGAGGAGGAGGAGGAGGAGGAGGAGGAGGCGGAGGAGGAGAAAGGAGGAGGAGGAGGAGGAGGAGGAGGAGGAGGAGGCCTGCCTCATGTTTGCCCAACGTCACAAAAAGGAGGAGGAGGAGGAGGACGAGGAGGAGGGGGAGGAGGAGGAGGAGGACGAGGGGGAGGAGGAGGAGGAGGAGGAGGAGGAGGAGGAGGAGGAGGAGGAGGAGGAGGAGGAGGAGGAGGAGAAGGAGGATGAGGATGAGGAGGAGGAGGCGGAGGCGGAGGAGGGGGAGGGGGAGGAGGATGAGGAGGAGGAGGAGGAGGAAGAAGAGGAAGAGGACGAGGATGAGGAGGAGGAGGAGGAGGGGGAGGAAGAGGAGGAGCGGGAGGAGCGGGAGGAAGACAGGTGGGGGATGATGGAATGGTGCGGAGGAAGGGGGGAGGGCGCGGGCGAGAAGGAGAATGCCGTGGATGCGGAGGCGGAAGCAGACGACGATGAGGACGAAAAGCTCGACGACGACGCCGAAGGCGCAGGCGGATCAGGAGCAGGAGGAGGCGCGAACACTCTGAGGAGCCACCCTGGCTCAAAAAAAGGCGGTTTGGGGATGCTGGACGCCGGCTGCAAGGCGAGGCGGCCCTGGTCGTGGCGACGCAGAGCCTCCCGGGAGCACCAGGCATGACGACGCCGGGGAGGGCCGCTGCGGCCTCGAACGGCCCTGGCCCTCCTCCGATCTCTCCGCGCGGAAAAGCAAGGCACTCTTTCCGAGCCGCGGGCAGACCTCGCAGCCGACCGCCGGGGTCGGGGTGCCCGCGGGGAGCCCGCCGCCGACCGAGCGTGCCGGGCCCGAGGTGCCCAGGGTCGGGGTCAACGGTCGCTCCGGCCCCCCTTGCCGCCCCTGCCCTTGCCGGAGCCCTTGCCATCACGCTTGCCCTTCTCCTTCCCCCCGCCCTTGGCCCCGCCGTTCTTCGAGCGGCCGCCCTTGGAGCCCTTCGCGCCCTTCGGCTGGTCCATCCTCCTGGCCTTGCCCACAGTGAGCTCGCGCCCGTCCAGCAGTTTCCCGCTGAGCCCGAGGGCGCTGGACAGCGCCGCCTCTGACAGGAAGGTGATGAAGGCCACGCCCTTGGACCTGTTGTCCTGGTCCTTCCAGGGGAGACAGCTACACAGACATTCGGAGGCCCGCGCGGATCTCTTGGATCGGCGCTCGCCCTCCCTGGCAGCGCCACCCCTGGTGCCGCCCATGGCGCCCCCCTTGGCGCCGTCCCTGGCGCCGCCCCGCGCGCAAGGCAGGGAGGATCCAACGCCGATCGAAGAAATCCGCGCGGACTTCCGCAAGCTTCTGCTCATGCCGTTTGTTCTTCTCGGGAGTGGACAGAACCCCCTTTAGCAAAACACCCTTGGAGTAGGAGGAGGAGGAGGATGAAGAGGAGGAGGAGGACGAAGAGGAGGAGGAGGAGGAGGACGAAGAGGAGAAGGAGGGGGAAGAGAAGGAGGAGGAGGGGGAGGAGGAGGGGGAGGAGGAGGCGGAGGAGGAGGAGGAATGAAAACAACCCGGGATCAGATCAGACCCAGCGGGCGTGGGCCCGCAAAAATTACACCTGAGACAACCCCAATCAGTGGATGATTTGAAAATTGATACTATGGATCTTGAGATCGATTGTGAGATCGATAATGGGATCGATAGTGGAATCGATAGTGAGGACGACTGTAAGGTCGATCGTGAGACCGCAAGTGAAATCGATTCAACGAGATCGATAGTGAGATCGATCGGTAATGAGATCGATGGTGAGACCGATCGATGAGAAGATCGACCAGGACCCTGGGAACCCGGGACCCTCGCCGCCCTCTGAAATCGGCCCGGAGCCCGGAGCCGGGAACCCGGGAAACTGGGAACCCGGGAGCCCGGGAACCCAGCCTGCCACCAGCATCGGCGGGGCACTTTCGCCAGATCCTTCAACATCCGCTATAGGACCCCTTCTGTGCAGGCACTGATTGGGGAAACACTGCGGCCGCAGCGCCCCCTCGAGAGCCGAGCGAAGGCAACTCGCTGACCGGCTTGGCAGGGTGGAGGCTCTATCAACCTCCCCCTCCTCTTCCTCTATTGAAGGGGCCCCAGGACACACAAATAAATACACACAAATAAAACGATCCCCCATATTTTCCTATATTTTCTGGGTTTTTGTCTTCGCCCCCACTTCCCATATTTTCCCATATATTCTGGGGAATCGACGATTAATTGTGTCTGTGTGTTTTTTCCCCTCCTGATCTATATCCTCCTCCCTCCTTCTGCGGCCGCCGAAGAGCCAAGGAAGGAGGTGAGGGGTCCGGCGTAGGTGCCCCTGTCCCGGGGTCCCCCTCTCCTTCCTCTCCTTTCCCCCTCCTTGTTCCCCCTTCGCCCTGCTTCCTCCCTCCCCTTATCCTCCGACGTTTGTTCTTCTTCGGCCTTCGGTAATCTCGCCGACAAGATCTCCCCGCACCCGCGGAAGAACTCCCGCACCGCCTCCTCGCTCGTGCCTGGCCGCAGACCGCTCACGAACGCCTCGGCTCCAGACCTCAGAAAGACCAAGCAAGCGGCACAAGCTAGGACGGGAAAAATGTCATAATGCGATTGGCTCCGGATGCGCACCAAGAGTTATAACTTATCTAGCGGTCTTCATTTCTGAAGTCCGCGCAGAAAAGGAAATCGGGTAAATCTGGGGAAGTCTGGAACCTACGTTATCATTAAATTGTGCTCCTCGGACAAGCGCTGATCTTTTGGACGTCCGCGCGCATCTCTTGGGTCTTGGGTCGACGCTGGGACCCCCCTGCCCTGGCTCACGGAGCCCGCCAGCGGGGGGTCCAGCGCCGACCCAAAAGATCCGCGCGGACGTCCAGACAGTCCAGATGCTTCGCCATCACCGCAACAATCGCGAGCTGCTGCGGGCAGTCGCGCTGGCGCGGTGCACCTGGCACACGCCCGAGCCACGCGCGAGGGCCAACCCGCAGGGCCAACCCGCAGCATGCGAGCCAGCACGCGAGGCCGTGGCCCCCAGCGGAACTCCATGTCTACGCCGCTCCCCCTCCTCCGACGCTGCAGTGTGCTCGTGACGTCGCCCCCTCAAAGGTTTCCTCCCCTTCCCCGGGGCGGGCTTTTCATCCCGACCCGTTTCTGGACGGCCCCGGGGCAGGGCAGTGGCCTCCGTGCGGGGGCCGGAAGCGGCAAACAAACAAAGCAGCCCCGTCGCGCTCTTCTGCTGCGGCGCCTGGGCGTGATGGGCTTCTGTTCTTCGAGGCCTCGCGTCCACGTCGCGCTTGAGCTCCACCCGCAGTGGCCGACCCCAGTACTCGTCGCCGTCCAGCCGCAGCGCCTCCAGCGCGCCGGCGGCTTCCCAGTACTCGACCACGGCCGAGCCGGCGCCGAACCTGGACATCCGACGGCGGACGTGGCTTCTGCAGTCGGGCAGCCCTTTGGTGATTGCGGCGCTGGGGGGGGGCTTCCCGGCCCCGGGGCCATCAAAAACGGATCCGGGGCGAAAGCCTGCCCCAGGGGGAAGGGGGTCGGGACCCCTGGGGCCGCGGACAGACAAAGTTCCCTCCTCCTCCTCCTCCTCCTCCTCCTCCTCCTCCTCCTCGTCCTCGTCCTCCTCCTCTTCGTCCTCCTCCTCCTCCTCCTCCTCCTCCTCCTCCTCCTCCTCCTCCTCCTCCTCCTCCTCCCTCTTCTCCTTGTGATGTTGATCGGACTTCAAGCACGGGGGCTCGCAGCGTTCTGAATTTGTGCAAGAATGCAGAGTTGACGCAATAGTGCGAGCAAATGACGCATGGCTGGCGCAGCGGAAGATATAAAGGCGCAAGGGCTAAGCCAGACACCGAATACTGCAACCGCTGTCGGGCCAAAGGTGGCCCTGGGGGGCGGGGTAGAATGTGCTGCAAGTCCAAGGCAAGCGTCAGCCGGCGCAGGGCACCTGCCACGAGCCTGGTGGCACCGCATCGCAGGGTTCAGAACCACGCCCTGGCAGACATCTGAAAATCTGTGACAGCCGGTCCAAGGCTGTAGAAGGACTGCCGCATGCACACTCGCAGAGAAACGTCAGGCGGAGCGCACAACCAGCTGCTCTGGACTGGCAGCGCGGCAGCACACTAAGGCGGAGGAGGAGGAGGAGGAGGAGGAGGAGGAGGAGGAGGAGGAGGAGGAGGAGGAAGAGGAGGGCGAGGAGGAGGAGGAGGAGGAGGAGGAGGAGGAGGAAGAGGAGGAGGGCGAAACACAGGCGAGCAGACACGAACGCGCAGGCGGGGGGGGCACGGCAAAGGTACAGCAAGCAAGCGCGGCGGGGGCGGGCGGTGGGCGGGGGAAGAGATGCAGCTCGTCGGCGGCGGTCGGAAGGTCGTCGCGGGTCGTCGCGGGCCCGGGGGTTGTCGTGAGCCGTTGGGGGGGTGGGTGGTCATCGCGGGCTGGGGGGGGGGGGGGGGGGCGCGGGTCAGGGGCGGAGGGCAGCGTGGCGGTCGCTCAGGCGGCGTCCGCCGCCTGCGCCGCTGTCGCCACGGCCAGCCTGGCCGCGGGCGCCCCGCGTAGCACCTGCAGACGACGGAGCGCGGCCCACGCAGTTTCCTTGTGAAGGAGTAGCCAGATTCGCTGGGCGCGCTCCGCTGCCGCCCGCGCAGGGTCTTCCCCAGTGGCGTCCGCCGCGCGCTTCGCCAAGGCGGCCAACGCGCGGCGCGCGTCCTTCCCCCATGCGCCACCGTGAGCCTCCATCGCCATCGGAATAAAGGTGATGCTTGCCGCGCGGCAGCTGCGCGCAGTGTCGAGAAACTGGCGCTTCTGCTCCTCGTAGAGCTAGCTCAGCGGCGGCGCCAGGCGCGGCGGCTGAGGCAGCTAGCTGCCCCCCCCGCAGCCCGGAGGTGACTGCGAAGTCCAACTTGGCCGGGACGCCGCTGCGCCAACGGGGGATGTACACGTCTGCTGGGCGCCGGGCGCCCTCGTCGAGCCCGCCGCCGTCTTCCTCCGTTTCGGGGGGGCCCTCGCCTCGCAGGCGGGGCTGCAGCAAGCCTGGTCGCTCGAGCTCGGCGCCAGGGAAGCCAGCGGCCTGCGCGGCGAAGAAAACCTGGTCGCGCAAGGCGTTGTGCCGCTTCACGCGGTCCCCACTGCAGGGGCATACCAGCGCGTGGTCCCCGTAGACGTCGAGGATGCCGTCGCAAGCTGGGCAGAGTGCCTCCTCGTCCGCCAGCTGCACCCGCAACCGCCTTTACAAGGCGACCTGCATCAGGCCGCGCGGGAAGTCCGTGCCGACCTCGGCGCACGGACGCGCCTGCAGCCAGCCGCACGCGCCTTCCGCGCTGACCAGCAAAAGGTGGGCCCTGGTGGCGAGGCTGGCGCGCTCCAAGAGTTCGGCCTTGGCGGCTTCGTTTAGGTTGTCAGAAAGGCCCCGCTGGTCGCCGTGCTAAGCCCAAGACAGAGTGCCCGCGAGGGCAAAGAGTATGCGCCAGCCAGACAGTGAAGTAAAAAAGAAGTCGAAGCGAAAGGAAACAGAGTCATGCCCACCGACGAGGAACGAATCGAACGAGGGAGGAACGAAATACACGTGCGGCAGTTTGCGGCCGTAAAGCAAGCGGCCGTGAGCAAGGAATATGTGGGCAAGTCATCTGGCACGCGATTATACTTACATTGCCTGGGCTGCAAGAGATAGAAGGAGCAGACGACAGGAGGGATGATGGGGGAGGAGCGAGGAGTGCGGAGGAAGCGGGGTGGTTTGTGGAAGAGCGGGAAGGAATGCGGGCGAAATGCGGAGGAAAGCGAAGGAGTGTGGAGGCGTGGTGAGGAAGGGGAGCGGATGGGCGGTGTTGCGGAGGAGGGCGGAGGAGGGGTCAGGATCGGAACGGAGGATGGAGAAAAGGGGAGGAAACTAGAGGGCGTAGACGAGAGGAGGGATGATGGGGGAGGAGCGAGGAGTGCGGAGGAGTGTGGGAGATCGGAATGGTCTGGGGGGGAGCGGAAACGGATGGGGAGGAGTACGGAGGAACGCGGGCGGCATGCGGGGGAGGATGGGGGAGGGCGGAGGTATGGGGAGGAAGGGGAACATACGGGGAGGACTGCAGAGGAGGGCGGAAAAAGGGTTAGGATCGGAACGGAGGGTGGAGAATTTAGGAGGAAAGCGGAGGGAGGGGAGCAGCGGGAATAAATGGCGAGGGCGCGGCAAAGTGCAGAGGAGTGGTTAGGGATGAAACGGAGAGTGGGGTGGGGAAAACTGGGAGGAACGCGGAAGAGGATGGAAGAGCGCGGAGGAAGTGGTGGAGCGCAGAGCCGTGGAGTGGGCTGGGGAAGGGTACGGAGGAAGGCGGAGGAGTGGACAGCAGAAGGGGCTGGGGAGGAATGCGGACGAGTGCAGGGGAGTTGTCAGGAATCGAGCGGAGGATGGAGGAACAGAGGGGCATGGGAATAGTTCGGAGGAGGGCGGGCTAGTGTAGAGGGCGGAGGAGTGTAGAATGGTGGAGTGGGCTGGGGAGGGGCGCGGAAGAAGGCGAAATAATGTGGAGGAGCGGGGGGGTGGGAACGGATGGGGAGGAGTGCCGAGCGGTGCGGAGGAATGAACGCAGAGGAGGGCGGGGGAATGGTTAGGATTGGAGCGGAGGTGAGGGAAGGAGGACGCAGGAAAACCGGGGCTTGGGGAGGAGGACGGAGGGAGGGAGGGGGGGGTAGGGAGGGAGGAAGGCGAGGACCGAGGCCTGTAGAAAAGGCCCCAAATTTCTGAGGACGCAGAGACTCCACGCCCGCCACCGAATCGCCTGGGCATCGTTGCTACATGGGCTGGTGGGGATGGGCGAATCGCTCGCAATTCAAAGGGCACGCCGGCTCCTGACTTCGATGCGGATGGACAAGGTGCGGCGCAGAACGCATGTGTCCCCAACCGCGCCGCCGGCGCACGGGGGCGCGCAGCGTGTTTCTAAGCTGTCTGGTAGGGTGCACGCACGGGTCTGCGAACGATAAACACACGCGGCGACGACGGCGACGGTGACGACGGCGACAAAGATGACGATGGTGATGACGGTGATGATGATAATGGTGACGATACTGACGGTGGTGGTGATGATGATGATGATGATGATGCGGATGATGTTTTGAGCCCGGTGTAAGTGCGGCGTTGGAGATCGTTGCGCGTGCCGCTGCAAGTTCGCGCAGCAGCGGCTGCAACGCAGGAGTTCCTGCACTAGAGCATCCACAGGGAGCGTCTGTCAGACCCGCGTGGCGAAGCGCTCCTGCATCGCCTGATTCAGTCGCATCGTGACAGAGGGGTCTGGGCGGACTACAAACAAAGAGAAATTACTCGTGTAGAACAGCGGGGCGGTGTTCTGGTGTGACACATTCTTCTGGCTCGGGACGCGGATGTCCAAAAGCTCGCCAACGAGCATGCTCAACACATCCTCGAACACGGTGGTGCTGTCGCTGTGCTTCCAGTCCTGCCACAGCGGAACCTGTGCCTTCAGGACGGCCGCTGGCGGAAATGACGACATCGCCTGCGGCTTGCCCATGACGCGGAAGATCCCGTCGGAGGGCTCGAACAGCATGGGTTTCCCACATCCAGGTTTTCCGATGAAAAATGTGTTCGTGCCCTTCGTGGCCCCGGCGCTGAGGGCGGCGCACACGTCCGCGCAGAAGCGCTGGACGTCTTCGCCGTTGTCCGCCAAGACTCGCACCCGCGAGCCGCACTCGAGACCCGCGCCTGGGACCGGAGCTCGCGACCAAACCCCGCGACCCGCGCCCGCGACTGGCGATCCGCGCCTTCGTTGTCTGCCTCATTGACGGACTTCCTGCCAAATGTGCCCGCTCTTGCTGCCCTAACGAGTGTCCCATTAATGCTCATAATGCTTGTGGGGCCACATTGCCAGTGACACCGCTCCTGACAAGCGTCAGTATGCAGTCAAGAATGTGTGAGCCAATTACCGCCTGAGAACCACTGGGGTTGTGAGCACCCAGCCGCCCTTGGGACCACATTGCCAATGATCACCACTCCTGACAAACCTCAGACTGAAATTCAGAGTGTTTGAGGCAACCAGCGCCTGAGCACCGCTGGGACTGTTAGCGCCCAGCAGCATGTGGGATCACATTGCAATTGAACACACCAAGAAAACCTTCATCGAAAAAAACGCCTTCATCGAAAACTCCTTCACCGAGAAACGACTGGATCCAAAGACTCCTTCATCGGAAGATCCTCGTCCTTGTCCTCATTGTCCTTGTCCATGTCCTTGTCCTTGTCCTTGTCCTTGTCTTTGTCCTCCTTCTCCTCCTCCTCCTCCTCCTCCTCCACCTCTTCCTCCCGAGTATCCTCCTCCTCTTCTTCCTCCTCTTCCTCCTCACGATTTCATCCATAACCCTCGTCCTCGTCCTTGTCTTTTCCATCCTCCCCCTCCTCCACCATCCCCCATCTGCCTTCCCCATCCTCCTCCTTCTCCTCCTCCTCCTCGTTATCGTCATCCCCCTCGTCATCGTCATCCTCCTCGTCTTCGCCTTCGCTCTGTCGGTTCTCGTCATCCTCATCCTCGTCCTCCTTCACCTCCTCGCCCTACCACTCTTGCCTCCTCCCCCGCCCTCATCCTTTCCCTCCTTTGCCTCCTCCTCGCGCCCCGCGCGGGCCCGGGATCGCCCCGACAGGCCTGCCAGGCCAGCCCCCCTGGCTCCGAGAGGTGTCTCAATTCACCCGCGTTGCCCGCGTTGTGTGACTACCTGTGTCTCTTCCTTCACGCCCCCGTCAGCCATCATGGGCATCGTTTCTGGATGGGCAAGTGGGGATTTGTTGGTCGCGAGCGCGCCGGGAGACGCTGGACGCCGTCCATAGGCCGCAGCAAGCGGGCTACGAGCGAATTGCGCACAAGGGGGGGGGAGGGAGGCACCGACAGGACAACGAGAGGACAGCGGAGGGAGGCACCGAGAGGACAGCGGGGATACTTTTTGATCGCGACCGCGGCGAAACAACTCGGGCGGCGTCGAGGAACGAAACGCAGAGGCATCGGCCTAAATTAGCGCAAAGGAGGAGGGGGGCGAAAAGAGGGAAAGAACAATACGAGCAGGAGAGACGGAC